GTTTGGGCAATGGGTTTTTTAGAAGCTGGAAACTTTGTTCAAGCACGTTTCCACATAGGATTGGAAGGGAAGAAGAAATGCATATTGTGAGACAGGATAAGTTTTAAAATGTTCTTTACCAGAAAATATTGATTGCAAAATAAGTGTCCATTGTAAACCATCTTTATTAAGAGGGTATTTTAAATACACAAGCTGTAATAACAATAGTATCTGACAGGTATGAGTGTAGTAATTTATTTATTACACTCATATATTATGCACATTATCTTAATTCAAAGTTGGGAAAAGGCGTATGAATGCAATATTCATAGCTGATGATTCAACCACAGACTGTTCTCTAAACTTCGACCTGGCAAAATAAAGACTGCAGACTTCAAATTCTAATTCTCTATTGTATTTGTTTTGATTAAGAGTTCACCGTGAATTTTGTCTATGAGTTGGGAGTGGCTACCAATTCTCCATAGCTACGAATTTGTTGGGTGACGAATTCACCTACAGGCTATAATTGCAAAACTGTGGTCCAGTGTTGACTAACGACAGCATAGCTTAGATTCAATCGGGTGAGGTGAAATGGGGTTTAACGCATCTTCCCGAGGCAAGAGAGTTAACTGACTTTAAAAGTCCAGTTTCCACCCTTGCCTAACTAGGCTGGAATTACTGGGCTCGATCCTAGCGCCACCAGTGGCTATTACCAGCTATGTCCCTTCTGAGCCTCTCCTATGGACCAATCAGATTCCACCACTCGTATCACTTGCGTTTGATTCACACAAAATGGTGGCGCCCAGTCAGGACGATCTGATCGATAATCAAGATCTATATTGTGATAAAACGGGTCTTACATCTCGAAATGCATCAAATCACGTGAGCACATTGATTAAAAACATGGAAAGATTTGGAAAATATCTGCTGACAACGAGTTGGTGGTGCACATGATTTGCAAATCCTGCAATCGATTTTGATTGGACTATGCATAGACTCGTTAGTCCAGCCAAAATGTAACTCCACAATACCAGCCTAGTTCGGCAAGGGTGGAAACTGGACTTTTATAGTCAGTTAACTCTCTTGCCTCGGGAGGATGGGTTTAACGTCGCGTCCAAGATTATTGCACTTATATAGCGACATGCATGCACGTGTGTGTGTGTGTGTGTGTGGCTGCTTGTACTAGTCCGGACTGATGCCGATTTATAGTGCTAGCACACTGAGATACCATGCTGCAGTTTAACATGAATACCTCACTCAGACACAGTATACCGACTCCGAGCCGACCAGTCCTTTTTTTAGCCCTTTAATGCTGAGCGCCAGACAGGGTAACAACAAGTACCATCTTTTAACGTCTTTTGGTATGACGTGGGCGGGGATCGAACCCCGGACCTTCTGCTCTCCAGGCGGACGCTCTACAACTAGACCACGGAGGCGGTCTTAGATTCAACCGGACCAGAGAGTCTATCTATATGTGACCCACCAGGAGAAAGGGACCTTATGGGTGCTAGGATATACTGTGCTATATGACAGATCACAAAGACGTCTTACATCAACTTACTTCAGTGAAGATGTCATGTATCTCTGTAATAAATATTAATTGATGCTTGTGAATTGTATTTTTGTGTTCTGAAGATGCTGTAGTTTAAAAATATAATGAAAAGTCAAACATTTTTCACTCATGTCCCGTATGTCATGGTGGACCACATAAGCCTATATAGTCTTTGTATAATCTCCCTGATCGGACATAGCGATCCTCCATGCAGCGCTAATTAAAATCCGAAAACTTGCAGTACTCCCAAGCTTTCAGACATATATGCAACACATGGTCATTACCCGCCCTGATTAATTTAACCCTGGTGCTTGCGAAGCCGAAGGCTCAACTTGTGATTTGTGAACTCTCGAAGGATACAAATTGAAAGAACGCCGACTCCAAGCAATAGACCTGTGAATGCATTTCTCTTTCTCATTGTCATTAATTTCACCGCTCTTCCCTTGTTGACACGTTCTAGTTTTCGCAAGTAGTGTTTGTCTGAGGGACTCAGATTTTGGAATTCTTTCGTCATGTCAACCTTCTCCATGCGATTATTCTCGGCCATCTTTCATGCAACACAGGAGATACCCATCGATAACTTCACATAACGACATAATTTGTCATGGTTGGAATGTTTTCTCACTGATTACGCTAATGGTGTAAAACAGTGAAAGGCCAGTGAAAAATAAATATGCAAACGTGAAACAATGACTTTTCCATGTAAATCTAATTAAAATCATGTTTGTTGGATATATCCACTTTTATTCTTTTCTTGTTATGGTTTTGAACTTCCGGTATTGGGTGTATTAAAAACACCGACTGGAATATGAAAAACAGATAAACTGTCTGTTTTAAGAGGACAGGTGGTGTTAGTAACGGTTCCTGGAAACAAGGTTGGGAACACACTATAGGCAATGAAAGGGGAAACAAGTTCGTACTGTTAGTATTTCTTATAAAGACCACAATAAATGTAGACAGGTGATCGAGGTTCTGGCATGTCTGGTGTTCTTCGGTTTTGCCATACGTTCGTGATCAAAATAGTTAGCCTTACAAAGAAAATCACTTTTAACTCTCTGTAGGTAAATGGTAGGACATGAGTGAGTGAGCCACTTTTAGCAATATCATCCACATCACATTGGGGGACACTTGGAATTAGCCAATTACTCCATACCTCAAGAGGTTTTGGAATGGTCTGACTGTTTATTTAGAGACATCTTGATAATCAATGTTATTTTCACTGACTTTGCAATAGTACACACAAACACACAAACACACACACACACACACACACACACACACACACACACACACACACAAACACACACACACACACACACACACACACACACACATACACACATTATCAAAAACACATAACTTAAACTTGGATGTTGCTATAAAGAACAGCTGTTTTGCAAAGTTTGAGGAAACATGTCCAAAACAATTATTGAGTTACTTTACATCAATTGAAAAAAAGAAAGAAACTCCACACCACCGCACCTATATATGACAACCCACTGTACTACATCTCTTATTGTCCCCGACACGTTGTTGTGTTTTCATCAAGGCGGTAAACGTGCCATAAATTCAAACATGTGCCACTTCTGTGCTACTAAGTTTGTTTGTTGTTTAATACCGCACTCAGCAACATCCCAGCTATATGACGGCGATCCGTAGATAATCGAGTCTCGACCAGACAATCCAGTGATTGATATGATGATACGATGGCCTGTGCATCAACCAAGTCAGCGAGCCTGACCATCCGATCCCGTTAGTCGCCTCCTACGACAAGCATACTAAGACCTATACTAAGTACACATGATCAGAATTTAGATGACGCACAACGAAATATAAAAACAGTGCCCAGATCCGATTATTTGCAGGCTGGAATATTGTTCTTACGATGTAATGTTATCTGAATTGGATGACGTCATATCATATGATGAAACATTGATCAATGTGACGTTACATTGTTTCATTTGACCAATCAGCGTTACGAATCGCTAAGATACATGTGGACATATTGAAATGTTATTACACTAGTTCCTTCTATACATGTCATATTACATAATTGTGTTACATACGTTTGTGAAATATATGTCAAAAGTCTTGTTTTACACGCATTTTGAGACGTTAATTAATTTCTTTATTATCCACACCTTCAAATTAGTTACGCAATGCGTAATCGTTATATGGGACTGGTGTCTGTTATTATATTAAAATACATATAGAAATGTAGATTATATTTCCTTAAAAATCACAAAAGTTATAGTTCTACCAACTAAGTTCTGTAACAGCAGACTAATATCTACGGAAGCCCATTGGGGCGACACAATTTTCATATTTTATCTTCAAAATTCAACTTCTTATCTGACAACAGTGTCAGCTCAAAGCTGAAAATGAAGCCTCGGCAAGTTTTTTTGCCCAATACAGTTTCTCTTGAAGTTTCAACAAAGTATCTTGAATTTTCAACTAAGTATCTTGGTCTAGTGGTAGAGCCTCTGCCCGGAGAGAGGAAGGACGGGGGTTCGATCCCCGGCCGCGTCATACCAGAGGACGTTAAAATATGGTATTTGTTGTTACCGGGCCTGGCGCTCGACCTTAAGGGGCTTAAACAAGGAGTGGTCGGTTCGGAATCTGTATACTGTGTCTGGGTGGGGTATTTATGATAAACTGCGGAATGGTATCACAATGGGCTAGCACTATAAATTCAGCATTAATCATGACTAATATAAGCAGCCACACATACACGAGCATGCACGTCGCCATTTTAAAGAAATAAACAGCGACCACGAGTCGTTTATGTCTTATATGAGATATCAACATTATGTACATCCTCTTTAAGGATGATGATAAAATGTACAACTTAAAAAAATTATTTACCTGTATTTAAAAAATGATGACTCCCTGAATAGAATCCGATCTCGGTAATGTCGGACAAGTCCGCATATTCTCACAATCCTCACGTCGACTACCCGTAACTTTTCTCCGAATACCGAGTGTCACATCTCTCCCGCTTTTGGATACGATCGTTCGACCACGAGCTACATCAATGGGGAACAACTCACTAGACACTGTCCTCTCAAAAATTAACGTCGTCCAATATACGACGTCATCAAGTTGCAAGCGTATGTTTGAATCTCCAAAAATATTTTATCGTGAAGTAAACCGCACTTCGTTCTTCACCGTTCTTTGTGGTTTATCGCATAAATATGTTATATAAGTATATAATCAACTTGAACGTGACGTTAAACCACTTTTCACCACACAATCGCAATCTGAATAAGCAGTCATCCAACAAGACCACGTCATAATTTTAACGTATTCCACAAAATGCCTCAGATGATTAAACAATCGACAATTTGTTGATCGAAGATAGTCTGGGTAAGAAAATGCAATATTTACCTAAACCTTTGATCCAATATATAAATATAATATGAATTCCGTTATTCCACATCATGCAATTCCACTTTTCGTATAAACCAAGCTATGTTTACATCGGGCACCTGTGGAAGGACCAGGTTAATGGAGCGATGTACGTGATATTTTCTTTCTTTGCATATGATTTTAAAATTTTCTTTTGGGATTTCATGTCTTCCGTAAATCAACTCACCCAAACGCTGGTGTCACGGAATGGCACGTTTGTTTGGTTGTAGTTTTTACGCGATAGGTCGGTCGTCAGCTGTTGTTGAGCGCTGCCAGCCTTTGTCTGCTCACAACAGGAGCCAGCCTCGGGCCTGAGTTTTGAGGGTCGGGTAGACACCACAGTCCGAGTCTCCTCACTATCAGATGTTTAGACAAAGATCTGAAAATAACTGTACTGAATGTATATATGTTAATAGAAGTAGTTATCTCTGAGATAAGTTGCACAAAGACTATCAAATGATTGTGTCCGATCACGTAAAGGAATGCATCACTTTATATCAGTGATGTAAATTTAATCTATCACCTTACAGTTAAGTTTGTGACAAGTCTTGTTTTGGAACCTATAATCTGCATGTCTTTGACAAACTTGTAGTCTCCGTACCAAACATTGCAGAAGAGTGTCTCTTGTGGGTTAATGCATCTGACCACATTTGCATGTGAAGAAGAGGGCGATCAAGTGTTTTTCAAATGGGTGATGGTCACATCTGACACTAGATAGCCACTTAAGCAAAAGAAGCATATGTCAGTGTATTTACGATTTCACTGATGCACTTTACCAATCTCATTAAGTCATATTTTAATCCTGTCTCCCTAGGAGAAGCCTGGTGTGTCAGGGGAATTTTCGAATCAACTTCAAGGCTTCAAGGCTTCTAAGTTTTTGGTATGACCATGGACCCTTAATATACTGTCCATGGTATGACTATGAGTGAGCAAAACATTGAGACAAACATATATCTGCTTTCTGTATCTCCAAAACAAATATTATTGGGGAGTTCCAGATGCAAAGAATTAAGCCGTGCTATTATGTGGTTGTGGGTATTTTAAACATCCTGTTTTTTTGTGAATGCCATTGCATCTACACCTAAAAGTGCATACTAACAAGGGTATATTTATATTCTGTTGTGATTTTCTTTGCTGAGATCAAAGTTTCCAAATCGAGGCATCTTTTTGAGGCAAGGGAGTTGACTGACTATATAAGTCCAGTTTCCACCCTTGCCGAACTAGGCTGGAATTATGAAGTTATATTTTACCAAGACCAACAAGGCTATGCATAGTTGAAAGAAAATCAACGTCCGGTTTGTACCGTCAACATGCCATCAACAGAAATTTTCCAAATCTTTTCATGTTTTTAATCAAGGTGCTCACTTGATTTGATGAACTTCGCAAAGTAAGACCTATTTAATTACAATATAGATCTTACTATGGATCAGATAGTCTTCATGCCGCCTTTTTCTTTGAAGCAAATGTAAATGTAAGTCATGTGATTGTTCAATAAGAGGGACATAGAAGGGACATAACTCATAATAGCCACTGGTGGCGCTACAATTGAGCCCAGAAATTCCAGCCTAGTTCAGCAAGGGGGGAAACTGGACTTGCCTCGGGATGATGAAATTGAGGGGGTAAAGAAACGAAACCAAATTGTTTTAGTAAGCTGACGTCTGATTGATTGGGTCAAGATGCTGAACATCCTTTATTTAGGTTTAATTAAAGTTAGTTCAGGGTGCACCTGACACGATTTTCAATGGAGATGTAAAAGAAATGATTTTAATAAGATTTGTAAAGTACAAAAGATCTAGGTCTGGCTGATGCCAAATCCATGAATAAAGTGAATGTTGAAGCTTGTCATCAGTTGTCCTACTGCAGGCATGGGTTTGATTGCCACAGTCATACAGTGTGTGAAGCCATTCCCAGGGTTGACTGGAAAAGTGATTTGAGCGGAATAAAAGCTATTTCACTCACTTACTGGAATAGAATGCTGATTCTACTGCTGTGGGATTAGGTGAGATGGATGATGACCGATCGACAGTCCAATGTGTGTAATGTCACATTGATTTCAATCTAAGGAGTTGCACTTCAATGTGCAAAGATTCGTCCAATGGGTGTGCCTGAACCCTATGAATGTGGGTTCCAATTCCTGTTCACCCTGATTGTTTTTCTCACATAAGAAGCTGACATGCAGCAATAAAATAACTGAAATACTCTTCTGACACACTCACTCATATTAAGTCCAACTTGTGACCACACTTTCATCAGCTGTTGTAGTCCTGAAGGGCTAGTGACCCTGGAGCTGCTTATGGCCACATACGGTAAACTATGTTTATAACGAACATGCTTATAATGAACTGACGGATATAACAAACTGATTTTGGTCCGGTCCAAAAGCTTTATATGCTCAATATATGCTAATAACGAACTACGGTTATAACGAACTGAAATTTGTTGTCCCTTTGAGTTCTTTATAACCGTAGTTTACTGTATTTGTAAATACTTTTTCTCACATTTACAATCAAACATGACAATTTTAGTTCAGTAAATACGCACGATTCATGATAATATGGTGTTCTTTAATTTATATTTTGAAGGATCTTCTGAAAGGAGATGGGTAACTTACATCTAAGAGGCAGTTACCATAGCAACAAGGATGAGGACAAATGCAGTGCAGATTTCCACAAGAGAATTCTGTCAGCCAAATCTGGCCAGCTGCTTCACACTTGTTCCTTTGGAAAGTGGATTCGCCATCGCAGAAAGATTTGTGGATTCACGGGGAAGACAGACTTCAGCACCCTGCGAGAAGCTCACCGACGAAGCGGGATCCTCGTGAAGCCGGACACGACGGATGGCAGATACTTCGCTGTGAGCTGGAAGAGTAAATCAGAGATCGTGATTCTTGAGAAGCTAGCGTGGTGGGTGGGGTCTGTGAAGGTTCCGCGAGTCCCTGTTCCAGACACGGAGGACCCCAACTGGTTCCGTCATGCTCAACATAATCGTACACGGAAGGAGTGCAGTGTGGTGGGCTACAGAAATGGCCTGGCTGTAGTCCAGATTAACTGTGATAGACATTTCACCATTGCAAAATTCTATATATTAGATTTGTTTCAGAAGACATGTGTCGGCCATTTTGTGGTGATGTATCATACGCGGCGTTGGTACGAGTGCTACATATCTCCAAACAAGCGGAGAATCATGTTGCGACCGGACCACTTGACTCGGGTTGTCGTCCTGCCTGACAGCTATGTCATACAGAACCTCACCCTATTCGTAGGTCCGTCCGAGTCTCCAGTCGTAGCCGCTATTCCCCCAGCCTTCAGAACGCATGCCCTCACATACAACACTAAACTAGGTGATGACTTTGTTATTCTAGGGGCTGATCAAGACATTGAAATAAGGAAACTCCCAGATTGGTCTTTGGAAAAACATGTTCCAAATCTTAATATTTCGGCAAGCATTCACCAGATACGATCAAGTCCCACAGGGGATTTCATCGCTATTCGTTACGTCCATCCTATTCACAGTCGAGAATATAGTACAAACTTTGTTGCGGTTCTCAGTTACCCCAAGCTTGATATTGTGATGAGGGTGGATGTTCGTGGTTGTTATTGGCCAGTGTCGGAGGTCATCAATCTGCAGGTGTTCCCCCGATTCTCCCCCAGCGAGTCCTGTATTGCTGTGATGCGCAACTGCAGCTACAAGCGGAAGGTGTTTGTGTACAAGCTGCCCCCAGTCCAGTCATCCCTCCAACACCTATGTCGCAGGACGGTCCTCCAACTAGTCCCCCTCAAGGACACGGAGAAACTGCCACTACCGAACAAACTCCTGGACTACCTACAGTTCCGGGAAAAGACAACAGCCGGTGCCTTCTAGCACACTCATGGACTCGTGTAGACTCACATGTCCTCTCATGGACTCGTGTAGACTCACATGTCCTCTCATGGACTCATGTAGACTCACATGTCCTCTCATGGACTCCATTTACGTTCATCAAGGAATCAAGGAATGAAATGGACTGTTATGGACCCTTACTGCCTGACATGGACCCTCATGTACTCCATTTACGTTCATCAAGGAATCAAGGAATCAAATGGACTGTTATGGACCCTTACTGCCTGACATGGACCCTCATGTACTCCATTTACGTTCATCAAGGAATCAAGGAATCAAATGGACTGTTATGGACCCTTACTGCCTGACATGGACCCTCATGTACTCCATTTACGTTCATCAAGGAATCAAGGAATGAAATGGACTGTTATGGACCCTTACTGCCTGACATGGACCCTCATGTACTCCATTTACGTTCATCAAGGAATCAAGGAATCAAATGGACTGTTATGGACCCTTACTGCCTGACATGGACCCTCATGTACTCCATTTACGTTCATCAAGGAATCAAGGAATCAAATGGACTGTTATGGACCCTTACTGCCTGACATGGACCCTCATGTACTCCACTTACGTTCATCAAGGAATCAAGGAATCAAATGGACTGTTATGGACCCTTACTGCCTGACATGGACCCTCATGTACTCCATTTACGTTCATCAAGGAATCAAGGAATCAAATGGACTGTTATGGACCCTTACTGCCTGACATGGACCCTCATGTACTCCATTTACGTTCATCAAGGAATCAAGGAATCAAATGGACTGTTATGGACCCTTACTGCCTGACATGGACCCTCATGTACTCCACTTACGTTCATCAAGGAATCAAGGAATCAAATGGACTGTTATGGACCCTTACTGCTTCACATGGACCCTCATGTACCCCACTTACGTTCATCAAGGAATCAAGGAATCAAATGGACTGTTATGGACCCTTACTGCCTCACATGGACCCTCAGGGTCTTTTGCAGGTTCTTTTGGACTCACATGGTCTCTCAAATACTTTTTACATATATCATCTATTATGATGGACATGAAATGAAGTATAAAAGAATGATACTAAAATGTTAGCTATCATGATAATACCCTTATTGGGGATTGTTTTTATTCCAGTGTGGGTCTTTTTGCCAGCAATAACATTTGCTGTAGATTTGGGCCTCAATACAGTGTCCGATTAATCTGAGAACAAGTAGATAAATCCCTGTTTTATCCTAAGGGTGTCTGTATTTGTTTGTGTTTCCGATGTGAAATGATAAAAATTTCTTATATCAATTTTCCCTGCTGCTGTGAAAGTTTATGCCCGGATGTTATAAAAAGCTGCTCCTACCATTGCGCATTAAGTGAAAAAACATGTCAGCTGCATATTTCTTCAGCTTTATTCATTTAAAATTGGTTTACAAGGCAAAGTCTCTCATCTGCGCCATAAATTAATATAAAGACTTTTAGCAAGTGTTCTTAACTTCAAAATGTCATAAGATATGTTACACAATTCAAGAAAAACAGTTTTTTAAATTTTTGTCCCCACCCACCCACTCTCTTGCTGGTTGAGGTTGGAGATGAGAACACATAAACAAATATGAATGGCCTAAGATGAAGAGGAAGAAATTTATGAGTGATTAGGCAGATTTGAGAAAAAAAATTCATGATATTTCTAGTCATGTGGCTTGTAGGATGTACCATATACTGATACAGTGGTTAATTGGAATACAGGAGAATTGTTTTCCAGTACAATACATGCTGAACATTAAATTATGTTTTAACAAAAGAATGTGGAATATAAACAAGGTACAAGAAGGGAACAAAACTGATCAAAACAATAAGCAATACAAAATATTCATCTTAGCATATTTCCTGATTATATTTTCTATATTTACAATACAATGTTAACGTGCAATATTTGTATTACTAAACAAACAAGGGCCTGAGGGGACGGATTCATAAGATGTCAAGAGATAGTTCAATCTCATGAAAATCAGATCTTCGTTCTGGCTACTGATAAAACAATGATCTGAGGACATCCCATTACGGGTCACGTCAGGCCGACCTTGCACGAACTTTGACCGACCAATGAAATGACCAATCAGAAGGCAGCTTTTTCGTGCTTTACAGCACAAATTTCAAATTGGCGACTTCGCTTCGAAACATATTTTGACAAATTCTCGATTACAAATTTGAAACCTGAACAAAAAAACTTTCTGGAATGGCTAATAGATGGTCTAGATTGTAAAGATTCAGTCTTTAAACCCGTAACTATCGTTTGGAATACCCCGTGTTAAAGTTTTCGAGGTTGCATGATGAGAAATCACATTCCGACTGTCACTTTCATAATCTGGTAAGCGACGCTCTGATTGGTCGGATGAAAGGTCGTTCTGACGTTACCCTTAATGGGATGTCTTCAGATCTTTGTTTAGCAGTCTAAGGTCTGATTTTAATGAGATTGGCGATAGTTTTGACGGATGTTTTGAATGATTGATTTGATTTGTTAAATGTTCACATGTGTCATGATATTGTTCTGATAATTCATATATCGGGATTGTGATCATTATGTCTGATCTGACCTTGAAATTTTTTACACTGCAACTGGCATGTCAACATAGTTCCTGATTTGTGATGTGTTGTTCTTTTGCAAATGGAAAATTTTCTTGAAGTGTTTTATATCAGAGGCATTTAATCAAATTTGTGGAATTATTACTCAGGAATGTATTTATGTTTGTTACTGATTTGTACAAGATTTTAGTGTATGACTACAAAAGCTTAGTAATAATCACTGAGGACAGTGGTGGAGTGTTCCTGGATGATGTGAGAATGTCTGGAGGGGGACATCGCTGGGGGAATGTTGTGCTTGGAATATGATTTAGAATAGTAAAAACTTGTGAATGGGCTTAGGATAAATGTGACCAACCATGAGATAAGGGACTTTTCATTATATTTTAAACTTCAGCATCTTCTTAACACAGAAATACAATTCAAGTTTTCAAGTCGTAATAATTAGAGAGATACATGACATCACTCATGGAGATCGTCACTGAAGTAAGTGACGTCAAACGTCTGTATGACATCACAGCACAATTGTATCCTAGCACCCAAAAGGTCTCTTTTCTCCTGGGGGTCACTAATATCAACCAGTGTTTTAACACACATGAATCACCATGGTATAAATCAGTGTTATATCGCATGTATTGCACATTGTATATCACTTTGCAGAATATCCTTGTTACATCATATGGAATAACAGAGTGTGATGTAACAACACATCCAAACAGTAACATTCATAAGGAATCTGTTATACATTATAATCAGCAATATAAAACACACGTTATATACTAGATACTGGTGTAACATTCACAGGGAATCTGTTATGCATAACGTAACCATGGTAACTGTAAAAAACAGTTGCATTAAACATGTCACATGGTCTTTGTCTACTACATCAGCTAGGACCATGTCTATTCAGCATTTTAATCACTGGTCAAACTCTTGACCTTGTGAATCACAGTATTTAGAGCCTTTAAAATGCTCACATATGTAATTTGAAACATTTTATATGTACATAATTGGTGATGGAATGTGAGCACCTGCATCTCACTGTGATGATTCACATGGATGTATAACTTCTCAGAAATATTTAGCTTTAGTGATAATATTTTTATGTATTTATTTATTTACATACTTGCCTCTGAGATTACTGGGAGCATTATTTTGCCTCATGAGTGTGTGACGCTGAATGTATGGCTGTTTTTATGTTTCACCATGTTGTGCTTACTGTACCTTGTATTTAATTATTCTTGTGCTCAACTAGCAGTAGCACTTTAGTGCCTGTCATATCCACATGTGTCTACTATGTCTAAGGCAGCCCTGTTGTGTCACCTTGCTAGATGGTGGCCTTGATGTCAGTTCCCTGACAAGGTTCGACATATCTCAGACATTGTAGTGCTGCCATATATCCCATTAGTGTTAACAGTGAAAACATCGAATAGTGCTACTCTCAGTGACAGTGATCACATCATCAGCTTTACTGTATATGGCCCAACATTACTCTATATGGCCCAGCTATACTGTATATGGCCCAGCTATACTCTATATGGCCCAGCTATACTGTATATGGCCCAGCTATACTCTATATGGCCCAGCTATACTCTATATGGCCCAGCTATACTGTTTATGGTCCAGCTATACTGTATATGGTCCAGCTATACTATGTATAGCCCAGCTATACTATGTATAGCCCAGCTATACTCTACATGGCCCAGCTATACTGTATATGGCCCAACTTTACTCTATATGGCCGCTATACTGTATATGGCCCAGCTATACTGTATATGGCCCAGCTATACTCTGTATGGCCCAGCTATACTGTTTATGGTCCAGCTATACTGTATATGGTCCAGCTATACTCTATATGGCCCAGCTATACTGTTTATGGTCCAGCTATACTGTATATGGTCCAGCTATACTATGTATAGCCCAGCTATACTCTTCATGGCCCAGCTATACTGTATATGGCCCAACTTTACTCTATATGGCTGCTATACTGTATATGGCCCAGCTATACTATGTATGGTCCATCTTTACTGTATATGGCCCAGCTATACTGTATATGGTCCAGCTATACTATGTATGGTCCATCTTTACTGTATATGGCCCAGCTATACTGTATATGGTCCAGCTATACTATGTATGGCCCAGCTATACTGTATGGCCCAGTTCTACTGTATATGGCCCAGCTATACTATGTATGGCCCAGCTATACTGTATATGGCCCAGCTATACTGTATATGGTCCATCTATACTGCATATGGCCCAGCTATACTGTATATGGACCAGCTATACTGTTTATGGTCGAGCTATACTGTATATGGTCCAGCTATACTGTTTATGGTCCAGCTATACTGAATATGGTCCAGCTATACTCTACATGGCCCAGCTATACTCTACATGGCCCAGCTATACTGTATATGGCCCAACTTTACTCTATATGGCCGCTATACTGTATATGGCCCAGCTATACTATGTATGGTCCATCTTTACTGTATATGGCCCAGCTATACTGTATATGGCCCAGCTATACTATGTATGGCCCAGCTATACTGTATATGGTCCAGCTATACTGTATATGGCCCAGCTCTACTGTATATGGGTCCAGCTATACTGCATATGGCCCAGCTATACTCTATATGGTCTAGCTATACTCTATATGGTCCAGCTATACAGTGTATGGTCCAACTATACTGTATATAGTCCAACCATACTGTATGTGGTCCAGCTATACTATGTCTAGCCCAGCTATACTCTACATGGCCCAGCTATACTGTATATGGCCCAGCTTTACTCTATATGGTCCAGCTATACTGTATATGGCACAGCTATACTGTATATGGCCAAGCTATACTGTATATGGCCTAGCTATACTGTATATGGTCCAGCTATACTGTATATGGTCCAGCTATACTGTATATGGCCCAGCTATACTGTATATGGCCCAGGTATACTGTATATGGCCCAGCTTTACTCTATATGGCCCAGTTATACTGTATATGGTCCAGCTATACTGTATATGACCCAGCTATACTGTATTTGGTCCAGATATACTCTACATGGCCCACCTATACTGTATATGGCCCAGCTATACTGTATATGGTCCAGCTATGCTTTATATGGCCCAGCTCTCCTGTATATGGGCCAGCTATACTGTATATGGGACAGCTATACTGTATATGGGTCCAGCTATACTGTATATGGCCCAGCTATACTCTATGTGGTCCAGCTATACTATGTATGGTCCATCTATACTGTATTTGGTCCAGCAATACTGTATATAGTCCATCTATACTGTATAAGGTCCAGCTATACTGTATGTGATCCAGCTATACTATGTATGGTCCATCTATACTTAGTTTGGTCCAGCAATACTGTATAAGGTCCAGCTATACTGTATATGGTCCAGGTATACTCTATATGGTCCATCTATACTCTACATGGCCCAGCTTTACTGTATATGGCCCAACATTACTCTATATGGCCCAGCTTTACTCTATATAGCCCAGCTATACTGTATATGGCCCAGGTATACTGTATATGGTCCATCTTTACTGTATATGGTCAATCTATACTGTATATGGTCCAGCTATACTGTATATGGTCCAGCTATACTGTATATGGCCCAGCTATACTGTATATGGTCCAGCTATACTGTATATGGCCCAGCTTTACTGTATATGGCCCAACATTACTCTATATGGCCCAGCTATACTGTATATGGCCCAGCTTTACTCTATATGGTCCATCTATACTGTATATGGCCCAGCTTTACTGTATATGGCCCAACTTTACTCTATATGGCCCAGCTATACTGTATATGGCCCAGCTATACTCTTTATGGTTCAGCTATACTATGTATGGTCCATCTATACTGTATTTGGCCCAGCTATACTGTATATGGCCCAGCTATACTATGTATGGCCCAGCTATACTGTATATGGTCCAGCTATACTGTATATGGCCCAGCTCTACTGTATATGGGTCCAGCTATACTGCATATGGCCCAGCTATACTCTATATGGTCTAGCTATACACTATATGGTCCAGCTATACAGTGTATGGTCCAACTATACTGTATATAGTCCAACCATACTGTATGTGGTCCAGCTATACTATGTCTAGCCCAGCTATACTCTACATGGCCCAGCTATACTGTATATGGCCCAGCTTTACTCTATATGGCCCAGCTATACTGTATATGGCACAGCTATACTCTATATGGCCAAGCTATACTCTACATGGCCCAGCTATACTGTATATGGCCCAGCTTTACTCTATATGGCCCAGCTATACTGTATATGGCACAGCTATACTCTATATGGTCCAGCTATACTGTATATGGTCCAGCTATACTGTATATGGCACAGCTATACTCTATATGGCCAAGCTATACTGTATATGGCCTAGCTATACTGTATATGGTCCAGCTATACTGTATATGGTCCAGCTTTACTCTATATGGCCCAGCTATACTGTATATGGCCCAGGTATACTGTATATGGTCCAG